AAAGCTAAAATAACTTAGCTAGGAAGTAGATGTCATACATCCATGGAGCTAAATCAAAATGAATATCCTTACTGCCTTTCAACTGCCCAAACAATTAATCTTAACATACCAACCCCTTCTGAAGGAAAGTGAGGCAAAGAAGCACGACATGAATCCACTGGAGAAAAGAAACAAACAAAAAAAAAAGGAAATATCAAATATAACTTGTGAGGAGGAAACTAAAGACAGAGGAGAGAACCTATACAAGTCTTTTCTGATTTACAATTTACTTGTGAGGCTGACAAATGTGTTGTTCTTTGCACATAACCAGAATATGTGCTAACCCATTTATAGCATTGTGCGAACTTGTAAAGTTTTTTCTAACTTACAATTTACTTGTTCAAAATAAGAGGTGAAAAAAATATTAAAAAACCTACTATGCAGTTGTTGAATGGAAAAGAATGCTATATATGTCACTAGTTCTTTTTTTTTTTTTTTTTGGAGGGGGGGTGGTTTATTAGCAGTGCCTCTTATGCCAATTTTGCGCTTTAATTTTTAAATTTGTATCAATTTGGTCCAAAATGACACAAATACTTCAATACTCCAACAAGACACAAAATGATAGAAAATATGGGTAGGGTAAAATTCAGGAAATTTAATATCATTGTGTCATTTTGGATTGTATGAAGATTCAAGTGGACAACAATTAGACGGATGCACCCATATTTTATTGGAAAAAGAATTGAAATGGAACACTCTTTTATGTATTTGATCACCTCAAAATAAGTAGAGAAGCATGACAAACCAAGGTTCACAGTAATTTATGCTGTCCTGAGATCATGGGTGCCAATGGTACTTTACAATTTGAAGTAGAAGACCAGTGGTGAAGTTCACAAGTATGTGAATAAAAGTACATTAAAAAAAAAAACAAAAGTAAAAGGCAGCATTTTGAACAGCCAAAAAACAACTTTGTACATTTTCTCACATCTCTACTTCCGCCTTTTCTTCTCTTCTTTTTTTCTTGTTTCCTCATTCATTTCTGGTATTTTGTGTCCTCTAATGGAAAAAGGTATGTTTTTTCAAGTATTCAAATCCCTTCATGAGTGTCTCTGCCTTCACTACCATCTTTTCTCATGCAAAATCGCAAGCATCTGCAAAAAACTTCCTATGCATCATAAACATGAGATGGTGTCATCCCAACCTTTTCCACAACCTAATATGTCAAAGAAAATTGAATTTCAGATCATTGTCAAACAGATTAAGATATAAATCACTTCGTAAATGTTAATCATTTGAAAAATAGGATATGTCTTCAAGAACCTGATGAGTCACAAAACATAACTAATTCACTTTTCATTGGGAGCTGACATGTACTAAATATTGAACCTAAATAGAATCAGCAATATTTTGGTTTGCAAATGATTAGAAACATTTTCTGGTACGGAGGGCATTCTTTCTGCAACACGAGGATGTGCTTTCTATTGAAAAAAATAAATTATTTGCAAATACAATGGTTCAAATTTCAAAGAAGCAAGTTATATTCTAATATAACAAACAAACAAACAAATTTCTTTTTTTATTATTGGCCTCTGTAGGTAACAAAAAAATTATGGCTAGCTTTATATAAGAACAAAAATAGGGGTGGGATTGTATACTTCAGTTCTACACCTAAGAGAACATAGAAAATGTAAAAATATATTTGGTGGAACACACATGGACTGGTATATGAGCAGCAATATCCACATATTACATATAAGTCATAAAGTTAGTCCTACATAACCATCCAACTCATCCACATTCCGGCAGCTTAGAGCATCCCATTAAGGCCTTTGAAAGAAAGCAAGATTTCACGTTGATCAACAAAAAAAAGCAGAAGCAAGATTTCACCATTAATTATAACTTGAAAAACTCTGCTTATTATCAACAACTCCCACCTCACACCCATCCACACACACACAAAAATACATACCAAGAAAACAAAAAAAACAAAAACCACCCAAATAAAAAAAGGAAACAAAAGAAAACTATTTATCAAAAGAAGAAAACAAAACAAATAAAACATAGCCTTTCCCTGTTTCAATACCCTTCAAATAAAACGTACCTGCTACCTTTTCAAAGCAACCAAGGCCGCATGCAAGAGAGTCCCATGCACTCGCAATGGCATAGTTGTTTCCTGTGACATAACATTCAGAAAAGGCAAGAGAATTTGGTTAATCTATGCTATATATTAAGCAAAAGGGGTTTTTAACCCCAAGGCCTCTGGGAGCTCCAATCTCCTAATCCTAATTTTCTAATTTTTTGATTTAAAAAAAAAAAACTCAGCATTTATTGACTTCTCCCAACCCAATCTTAGCATTTATTGACTTCTCCCAACCCACAATCCCTTTTTATTAATGTTGTAGATATCTACCTATATTTTATATATTATATTATAACATAACAAAAAAAACTAAAAAAAAAATCTTTAAAATTTATCTAAATAAACTTTAAATCAATAAAACTCACATGTCTATCACATATCTAACTCACATCATAACTTACCTAAATAATAATAATTAATTTTAATAAAAAAATTAATTTTTATGAACAATCAATTTTAATAGAAAAAATAGCGTTTCCTTCTATTTAGTTTTAGCAAAAGTCACTTTTTAGCTATTTGAGCTAAAAATATTTTGTATTTTAATTTGTTTAATTGGCAATTGAGATTTTTTTACAAAAATAAAAATAAAAATAAAAAGATATATCTATCTATCTATCTATATCTATACTATATATTAAGCAAAATGGAGTTTTTAACCCCTAAGGCTTGTGAGAGCTCCAATATGCCAATCCTAATTTTCTAATTTTTTGTTTTTTTAAAAAAAAATAACCTCAGCATTTATTAATTTCTGTCAACCCACAAGACTTTTTGACTTCTCTCATAATTATTGCAGTACTTTTTCCAAAACAAATCATTTGTATATTAAAAACAATTTAAAACAAATATAAATATTTATATCTATATCTATCTCTAACCTACAAGTTTTGTGGGAGTTCCAATATTTGAACCTTAATTTCTTAATTTTTTTGATTTTTTTTGGAAAAAAAAAATTTAGCATTTATTAAATTCTTCCAAGTCTTTTTAATTTTTCCAATATACACATTCTTTTTAACTTTTCACATACCTATTGCAAACAGTGAGTCTCATTTTTGTTTTCTCCTTCTTGACTTCTCACTTCTACACTTTCAACTTCAGTAACCACGTATGCAAACAATAAGTCTTTTTTTGTTTTCTCTTTCTTGACTTTTCCTTTTGTTTACTGTTGTAATATTGTAGTTAGATAGCGCATAAAAATATTTGTGATTTGTCTAGCGAATAAAAAATTATAATTTGATTTTTTAATATGATTGAAGTTAGATAAATATAAGCCTTCACAAAGAGAAAAATGTGATTATAATTAGTTGAATGATTCTTTTTTTTTTTTAGAAACATTTTCTGGTACAGAGGGCATTCTTTCTGCAACACAAGGATGTGCTTTCTATTGAAAAAAATAAATTATTTGCAAATACAATGGTTCAAATTTCAAAGAAGCAAGTTATATTCTAATAGAACAAACAAACAAACAAATTTCTTTTTTTATTATTGGCCTCCGTAGGTAACAAAAAAATTATGGCTAGCTTTATATAAGAACAAAAATCGGGGTGGGATTGTATACTTCAGTTCTACACCTAAGAGAACATAGAAAATGTAAAAATATATTTGGTGGAACACACATGGACTGGTATATGAGCAGCAATATCCACATATTACATATAAGTCATAAAGTTGGTCCCACATAACCAACCAACTCATCCACATTCCGGCAGCTTAGAGCATCCCATTAAGGGCTTTGAAAGAAAGCAAGATTTCATGTTGATCAACAAAAAAAAAGCAGAAGCAAGATTTCACCATTAATTGTAACTTGAAAAACTCTACTTTTTATCAACAACTCCCACCTCACACCATTGGATAAACATAAACACTCACAAAGAAAAAAAATATGATTGTAGTTAGTTCAATGGTTCTTTTTTTTTTTTTAATGTGATTGCAATTAGTCAATGGTAATCTTCTGATTAGCATTTATTAACTTTTTTGAATCCACATGTCTTTTGAGAGCTTTGATCAAAATCCTCTCATAAAAATAATTATAGATACAACCAGTGCATAGTTACTGTAGCACTATTTTCAACTTCTCCCATACACTATAGTTAGTGATAAGATTATTAAATTATTTTCATAAAAAATCTAAAAAAATAATTTATATATTAAAAAAATTTAAAATAAATATAAATATTTATAATTATCTCGTGCATAACACGGGTGATAGGCTAGTAACAAATAAAATAAAATTAGCAACCAAGTTCAAGCTCTTTTAAAGAAAAACACAAGTAAAGGACCGGAGCTTATGATTTCATTAGCTATTACTTTAAAGTCTTAGCTTCTGTTAAAAGATGAAATAATTTCTTAAAATGTACCAAAAGATAACATGATGTTACAAACAACTAGGTATCGATACTTGCATGTTTTCTTTGAAAGCATAATACAAGGTTTCTTTGTAATTGCAGTTACAAAATGATTAGGAAGCTGATAATCTACCCTGCATTTTTAGCACAAAAATTGATTCTTCCATCAATGAATGGCAAATATAAGAATAGAATTTAGACGAATACCAACAATGAGCAATGACTTCCTAATTTGGCACCAAGCTAGTAAATGGTAAATGGCAATGACTTCAATTTATATATACATATATATATATAACAATCTAGTAGAATAAATATATCTAAAGGGAAAGTCTCTCATTCCAAACATTCGCTTGATATATCTCTTATTCCTTTATCATATATGAGATTTTTCACCATGCCTGCATAAAAGTATATCAATATATTCAATAAAAAAAACCTCATGACATTTCTATATAAAGTTTGTAGTTCTCTCCAGAGACAAGAAGCCTTATTTTAAATCAGAGCATCCATAGTACTTTTCAAGCAAATTTGTGGCATAGCATGAGAAGAGCACAAAATCTTGCAATGTGGTTTAGACAATGATTATGAATACATCCTAAAGTTTGTTTCCACAACAACAAAGCCTTGGAGAACAAAAAGGTAATAACAACAATAGTTAGTAGATTTGCTATTTAAACTGTCCACATATCCTTTCTATTATTTTTTTCAAAATACACTGAGAAAATACAGAAAAATACACTTTTACAAGCTGAAACTAGAAAAGAGCACTATCAAAATTGATTTTAAACAGACCTTCCATCAAAGCCCTCCAACTGGCAACTGGAAACATCTTTTTGCTGAACAGGAGTAGTGATCTTGAGCTGTGTTGTAAGTAATCAGCGACTTGCCTAGCAACATCCTCTGCTGATTGACTCTTCTAGTTAAAACGCAATCATTGCAATTGTTCAAAATACTTCAGCAAATGAAAAACAATAATCCCAAACGCAACACATCCATTTGTTGGCTAAACTCCTGAATCAAGAAAAGAAAATTTTGAGCTGGGCCTATATGGAGAACAGAGTAAAGAGAGCTTAAAGACCAAACTTGTGCAGCAAAAGGAAAATAGTGAAGCCATCAAAGTGAATTACTTTGCACCTCCTCAACTTTGATTGAACAGGAAAGATATTCGAACATGTTTTCCATGAGAATATTTTCACTTTATTTAGAATTTTCAGCTGCCAAATCTTCCTTGAAAACGCCCTTTCAAAACTCCCATCATCTGAACTGACTGGTGTTTCTCTGCTTCACAAATCCATCTCCAAATGATATGCCAACTTAACATAAAAAAAGGCCACTTTTAGTGAAGTGCCAAACCAGTATGTCATGAGAAAGCCTTAGCATCGGCATGGAGGACTTTGGAAACACAAATAGCTTTGTAAGAGTAAGGCCTTGGAATCCATCTATCTTTCCAAATCTTCATAGACCTGCATTTCCAATAAGCCAACGCAGCACAACCTCCAGAAGAGACTTTGCATTCCAAATACTCCTCCAAACAATGGGTTACTACTCAAGCTAAAAGAGCTTTATTAAAAGCCCATCCCACCAACATAAACAGACAAAAAAGCAAGTTTGTTCAATTTATTTCATCTCTCCTTTCTTTCCTTTTCCTTTCTTTCTCCTCTTCAAATCCCGTCTTGCAGATTGCACACAGAATCTATTGCCTTGGATGACAGGGGAATTCTCAGATGTGGACGATTATTTCTGCTTTCACTGTGATCTTTTTTGAGGCTTTCCAGAACAAACCGCCATATTCTCATGCAAAGACTTACTGCAAAATAAGGAAACAAATCCATAAGTTGATAAGATGTTTGAAGACATATACATGAACACAAAAGATAAGATAAAGTTGATACTTGATAGAATAGCTAAGATAAATTTTGGTCTCAAAAGATAAGATTAAGGTACAGACAACTAGGACTTGATACTTGCATGTTCTACCATAATGCCATTTTTTAAAGCATTATACAAGTTTTCTTTTGTAATTTCAGAAACAAGGCGATTTGGAAGCTGATATTCTACCCTACATTGATGACAAACTTATCCCTTCATTGATGAATAGCATTTAAGGAAATACAAACTATGAGCAATGACTTCCTAACGTGGCACCAAGCTAGTAAAGTGTAATTGACTATTTTTTAAATGTCCTATGATCTAGTAGAATAAATATATCTAAAGAAAAGTCTCTCATTGTGTCTGCTAAGATGCTTTGGTCTTAGGTCAGCCCCATAATCTGGAAAAGAACCCCATTTTGTCAAAGACAAGAGAACCATTTGTTACTATCAGATGAACTTCCCCTTTTGTTTTCTTCTTAGACAAGAGAATCATTTCATCACCCACTTCATAACAAGTCTAAACAGAACAACATGCAAATTTAAACAAACAAACACAAAAACTCTATGCGGTGTACCAATTTCAAATAGTGTCATACATTTTTTTGAATATTTGCCTTGGATTTGAAATCTAAATAATACTCCAAGTAGGGTAGGTGGCTTCTCAACTTCCCTTTAATCAAGCCTAAATCCCTCCAACTGCAACAGATTGCCCACATGGATTTTGACGAGACTGTCAAATGTTGTCTAGCATGCATGGAGAATGGTATAAAGATGCAACATGAAATTAGATAAAATTTCCCTTCTAGCAATGGAAGTCTTGCCTGATAGTGTGCAGTTTGGAGATTTTTTCAATTGAAATCCCTAGAAAGGAATTCATTCTCAATTTTCTTGATTTATCTCTTACTCCTTCATTACATACGAAAGCTTTCACCATGACTAGACAAAAGTAAATCAATACATTAAAAACAATTTTTAAAAAAATTAAAACCACATGACAATTGTAAAACTCAAAACATAGCAACCCATTGCATTCAAAATTGTAGTTCTCTCCAAAGCCAAGAACCTTTAAGTTAAATCAGAGCGGCCAAAGTCTTTGTCAAGCATATTTCTAACATACCTTGAAAAGAGGCAGAAAATCTCGCAATGCAGTTTAGACAATGAGTATGAATACATCCTAAAGTTTGTTTCCACAACAACAAAGCCCTGGATAACAAAGAGGTAATAACAATAGTTAGTGGGTTTCACTATTTAAACTGTCCATAAATCTTTTTCTAAATTTTGACACACAACACTGAGAAAATATAGAAAAATACACTTTTACAAGCTAAACAACAAAAAGAATGTAGTATTCAAAGCCACAACCACATGTTTGTAGAAGAGTCAGGGTAAAGATAAAATAAAAAATGAAATGAAATTCATCCATTAAGTAGAGGTATATAGATAGAAAAGGAAAAGGAAATATATGGAAGGAAAAGAAAAGGAATGAACGTAAAAACATTGTTGTGTGTTGATACAGACAAAAAATAGAAGCTGTAAATTAGAATTTTGAGAGCCGATGTGAAGATATAGTTGAAGACACAAGCTGATCAATTTGAGTTGACCAGACCTTAGTAGCAGGAGATTCCTAATTCGGTGTTGTTTTTTACTAAGAGACACAATTCCATGCTCCTAAGTATGAAACCTATAAGACAAAAAGAATGTAATTCAAAGCCACAACCGCATGTTTGTAGAAGAGTCAGGGTAAAGATAAAATAAAAAACAAAATGAAATTCATCCATTAAGTAGAGGTATATAGATAGAAAAGGAAAAGGAAATATATGGAAGGAAAAGAAAAGGAATGAACGTGAAAACATTGTTGTGTGTTGATACAGACAAAAAATAGCTGTAAATTAGAATTTTGAGAGCCGATGTGAAGATATAGTTGAAGACACAAGCTGATCAATTTGAGTTGACCAGACCTTAGTAGCAGGAGATTCCTAATTCGGTGACATTTTTTACTAAGAAACGCAATTCCATGCTCCTGAGTAGGAAACCTATAAGAAACTTGCTCCCAATTGAGATAGAACCTCTCAAACATACAAATCTTAAAGAAATAAAATTATAGTACTTTCTATTTACATAATATTTATTTATACTTAGCAAAGACAATATGTAGTTGACATCAATCTCTAACAAAAATTCATATTTTAACAAATATATTACAAGTAGAAAAATATAGTTATATATTCACTTTTTAATATATAAAATATATACACAGTCCAATCTGCTGAATGAGTCTAGTTTGAGCTGAAGTTATAGAGTTAGTTAGCAAAGTAGTTAAAAGATTAGTCAACTTTTTATCCAAAGAGGGTATAAAGCTTTTTTGTTAGGGTTGTATCAGAGGGATATATGATTGTAATGAAGGTTCCCCCCCCCCCCTAATTCTCTCTCCTATGCTATGCTATTTTCTTTTCTCTAAAATATTCTTCTTCTGTGCTATTCCTTGCATCTTTCCATTACTGAAGCTTAGTTTGCCCTGTTTTTTCTTCTCTGATTCCTATTGGAATATTTTAGGGCTTCCTCATGTGTTCAATCACTGTACTTAAAATTTTGTCATTCACAACAAATTGGAACCCTCAGTTGTGTTAAAGTTCCAAAAAGAAGAAAAAAAATGAAAAAAAGAAAAAAAAGAAAGAGAAAACCCTCTGTTGTAATAAAGATATGAGATGATGCTGGTATGGAGAAACAAACAAAAAAACAAAATGGTATGACAGATATTTATTTGTACCTGCAGTTGGCTGCTTA